AAAATGTTGAGTCATTCATCCTAGTTTCTGCTTGCTCTCATTTTGGTTTCTTCCTGACTAGTTATTTGTATAATTATTGAGCTGGAAAACAAATACAAAACTTTTATAGAGATAAAATAAGTAAATCCCAATTTTCTGCTTGTGAAAATTTAATTTTGATTACTGATTAAGTCAAGGATATGGAGGACGTGCAGCATGTCTTCGGTGAAAAGTTACAACAAACACAGCGCACAATGACTGAACTAATGTTTTTCTGCAGACTAATAAAGTGGACAATTTCCGTGGTTGCCTTGCCAAAAAGACTAAATTTTAGCCACCAAAAGGATGCTTGACTTTGTCAGTCGCCACGGCAACTGGCACCTTCCCTGCAACCCTGCACTTCACGAATGTTTTTCACGATTGCTCTCGATCTTGTTGCACATGTCCATTTGTGGGGTGACAGTTTCACTGCGTTCAAGACATTTATTGATGTATATTGCAGGGCATTCCTTGAAGGGACAGTTGCGTCCATTGCTGACAAAAGACTCCTTCCATCAGCTGTTTAATTCTGTGTTGCACAAACCCTGATATTCCTCAGTCGGCATCTGGCATTCAACGTAGGCCGGCCATCACAATCAGGTTTTCCTTGATCTGTGGTGTATGAAAACAGCATTGAATATGGTCAGATTTTGGTCGAGAGTGACCTGCATGTTACATACAAGCAAAAGTTTATTCGAGCAGAGCGTGTGCAACAACTGACAAAAAAACTCGACTCACAAAACCAAACAAAAAATCCGAACTTTAAACAAAAGATTCTTAACAATCAAAACTATCATTGGGATTCATCAAACTTCTAAATGATATCAAAAAGAGAGGAAATTTCCTTATCTGAAATGGAGAGAACACAGACAAGGTGGTTGGAATAGGTAGTGAATGGTACAGCACTGAAACATGCTGGACCACACCACCCAGACCAGTGCCCCACCCCATCCAGGGTCACTCCACCTTCAAGAAAGGGATCTAACTGTCTACAGTAAGCACAGGTGTAGTGGGCTAAACCAGGTTGAAACTCCAGAAGCAAAAACGAAAGGTGGTTGGGGGTGTATCATACAAAAGAAAAAAAAAGAGGGGGGGGCACACCTCTTACATATAGACCTAGTACATTAGGACCTACCCCAAATCATTGTCTTTTGATATAACAAGTGTAGACAAAGTGTGACATCATTATGTCTATTTAAAAGTCATCCTTGTTGGATAAATTTATTTTGCCCAAATACTGGGTGACATATATATATAGGGAGCCATAACATGACTCAAATGGTCCTCAAAATCCTCTGATTTTGATATGATTTCACATGCACCCTTGAAGGCTACGGTTAATACTGTTTGTAATTTGGGAATGTTTTCTGCACAGACTGTATTGACCTTTAGTTGGACCGAGAGAAAACATAATTTCCTTGGCATGAGAGGCTCCTTTGGTACTAACTAATCACTGGTTCATGAACGACTAGGATATGCAAGAGGTGCAGCCCCATCGCTACCAACAAAATGAATACTCCCAACCAACAAGGCTCGACCAAATAGGCTGTGCTTCTACTCAAGGTGGATAGCATTTGGGGATGGCAGCTGAATCCTTAACTGGAAGAGATTGACTGGGTGAAAAAATAGATGGGATTGTTTAATTATAGCCCTAGACCAACACTTCTTGTATTGTGAGTTTCCATCTGAATGCAGATGGCTGAAAATAAGTCTTAAGAATGCCAAAAATGGAGTAATGTTTAAAGCGATGCTTAAAGGCTTGAGAAAATGACTTTTTAGAATGTACATATATTTTACGCTGTTTTGAAGAATAAATGTACTTAGCTAACCAAGCAACAATAAAAAGAAACAGAAAATGACAACTAAGAAGGTGATGAGATTTTTATGAAATGTTTATGACAAATTCCACTAATGTGAGCTTGTATATTATTTGGCCCTGATCTTTTGTTGATTTGATACTGTTTTCAATGATGCTTCAATTGCTGTTGTAAAGCGCACCTTATAATTTGAAACGGTGGCCCCCACAAATGTTAGTCATACGGGCTGAAATTCAAACATGATTTTTGATTAATTTCCCTAGTTTCAGCAGTGACAGAGAGACAAGAACAAGCTAGTCCCTGTTTCTGAAATTATCATATCACTGGGGACAATACTCGACCAGTATGGAAACAGCTTACGTCGTGATATTAGTCCATGGTACTGCTAATAACATGCCCAGTTTACTTGGAACTTGGGTTTTGTCTCATAAGCTTTTCAACTAATGAGAATCTGCGGTCTTTAGGGCTGTGTCAAACGTAACTAAACAAATTGGAAGATGCAATCATTAGGTGTGGTGGTAACATTGGTGACAAACTGAACAGAAATTGGACAGAAGCTGAATCCACCGGCTGCTTGCAGTGAATGGGGAGTTGTACTGGAATAATAAAGGGGATGGATGGAGATTATAGAGGGATAAATGTCCTCATTCCTGGATCCAAATCATGTACAAGGATGACTGTACACATTCAACAGGTGTCATATAAAACATTTGGATTGTTATTTCATTTTATCAGCTAACTTATTAGTCAATGAAGCAATCAGCGGCCATCTTTCTGTGTCAAACACAAAGCCTTTAAATATAACAGTTTGTTACATTATGGCATGCGAGCCAACATTCACAGATGATTGGTGGTGGTTTCAGTTGGTACAATAGCATTTTGAGTGNTAGAGTTTCTTTATGACACAGGCAGGCTTCTACAATACACACATTAGCCGGAAAGTATGATACATGTATGGAAGCCAATATTGACCATAATTCCTGGGTGTAAAGTTTAATCACACCTGTCTGGAACTACATGTCTGGAAGAAGGTCATTGGGGAAGCACTAACAACTTCTTAATAAGTTTTCTCCACCTCTCTCAATCCTCCCATTGCCCTCTGAGAACCAATCAATCTAGGTTATACACTCATGTTGTATTGTCATTTCTTCCTTTCAGCCAGAGCACAAGCCGCTGGTGAGCCGCTGCTGCAGTTTCTTGATTATGGAGTTCTGTGCTCGTTGTTGAGGCGATCGGTATTTTGATATCTTGCTACTGCCTTCTGGGTAAAAGGTGAACGGATCCAACGTTAGTAATCCCAAAGGTATGATTGAGTCTCCTGTGCACTCATTTTGACTTCTGATTTGATTTGACTTCTGGTAATGTCGCATTAAGGATCTAAAACATAATGACGTCAAGTGTGCACTTTTCTATAGGACTTAATTTCTTGCTTCCCACCTTGCTGCCATAGGAAACACTGCTAGATGCATATGTAAAGTAAACATGACATTATTATGTTACAGGTCTATTTGCTTTTCCCTAAGTTGCCAGAGATGGAAGACTTTCTCGGTGGATAAACTTATTTGTGCCAAGAACTGGGTGACACACATGCATATGGAGAGCCATGATTTAATACCATTAATAACTTTGGGAATGGTTTATGCACAGTCTGTGATCCCCGTATAGAAATTGGGGATGGCAGGTAAAACATGAAATAGCTGAGAGTGTTTGGCCAAAGCCCTTGGGTGTATGCAAAATCATATTGGAATCAGAGGATTTGGGACAATTTTAATTAGGCCTTTTTTGTACTTTCTGGGTTGTTATCAGAGCCCAAGAAAGTAGAGGGGTGTGAGTTGCAAAATGGCTGCTTCGAGGCTTGAGAGGTTTTACTCTTCGGGAATTATTTGCTGACCAACCAACAATTGAAGAGAGTTGAAAGAAAGGAGAAGACAAAAATGAGTTTCATATAAAGACGTCCCAGTGATGTCCACTTGTATGTTATTTGGCCTGATCTTTGTTGATTTGACTCTGTTTTCAATGTTGCCTAAATTGTTGTGGAGGTTCCTCAGTGAGTAGTCATACAGTCTGTGATAAAAACATAGTTTCTTTGGTTTTGTTTCTTGTAGCATTGATGAAGAGACAAGACCAGAATCCTAGGAGACAGTTTTCTGGATTGTAATACATCACCAGATATTTGCTACTGCCAACACTACTCACTTGGTAAGCACTTTATATCGTGTTCTGATTTTAGCCTCATAAAAAAGGCATGTTCCAGCTCCTTAAAAAAAAGCAGCTGTACCTGAGTTGTATAAATGTACAGTTGTTCTGTAAAATCTGGAGCATGGCTTGGACTCCACTCTTGAGGATGACAAGAGCAGCTGGTTGAAAGGTCGAGTACACGCTCAACGGTTTTTTGTCCACAGTTCAAATTGTGCAGTTTTGTAGAAATTTGGCCATTTACATAGAGAGGTATTGAGTTTTTTTTTCTCACCTCTAACCGTTAACTTAAGTTTGTACGTACTGTATCTCATATATCTCATTTGCTGCATTCTGATGTTTTCCCATCGGAATTCCAACATAAAGTTCCTCAATTCTTAATTTTTCGTTAAAGAGTTTGTAAATAGTGCACAATTCAAATCGTGCAGGTATG